AGCCAGCGACATTTATGGACACATTTGAATTTCAAGCACCTTTTAATGAACCATAGCAATATGCTTCTGTGATGCATTGCATGAGAGGAATAGGGCACCAACCAGAAGTGTGGACATTATAAATTTATATAAATGGTGGGCAACTTTATGTTAGGCATATAGCTTTATATAGAATATACTTAGAATAAATCTGCTTACACGGAATAGCTATTGATAAAAATGCAATTACATCAAAAGTAAAACATAATTAACTGAAAAATGCAGCCAGGCTAACACTTCTAATGCGCTTCTGGTGTTTAACCAAGCGATCTTCACACTATCTCAAGTATTAGAAGCGACCTATAATCTCTGAACTCAGCGAGTGGTTAAATTATTTATTTCTACTTTTTTTCAGCAATTCAACCATAAGTTAAACACTCGAAAAACACATTGCTATCCAGCAGAACGCAGCTGCGGCAACTCATTTGAACTCAGCTCAAACTGGAATCATAATTATTTGACCATTGAAGCTGAACTGTTTTGAAAAACTACCCCATAGCATTTTTTCTAGCTCGCTACAAAATTTCTTTCATTTTAATGCCAGGGCTGGTTAGCTTCTAAAAAAAAAATAAAAAAATAAAAAACAACTGAAATGGTGCGCTGGCCAAATTAATTGAAACTTTATTTGGATTATGAAATTAGCACACGCCCAATGCTCTGGGTATTTTTTTTGTAGCATTAAGCGCTTTTTAATTAGGTTTCCATTTTTTCGGAGGGGATGAAGCTTTTGAAGTTGCCCCATTTTGTTGCAAGGGGGTGGTCGGATTAAGTGCTCCATAATTTGACGCCAGTTTTTAATTGTGTGGAAAATTGTTGGCAAGCATTTGAAACTAGTACAAAATTGTTGTGGGCTCCATAACTGAAATATGCAATTAAACTTTTGTCGGACGGGTTGAAGGTAAGCACTCCGAGGCCAGTTCTGACACATGCCAGTCCGTGAGATGGAAAATGTGCTGCACATGAGTTGCCATTTTGGGGCAATCAAGCGCAAAATGTAAATGAAAATTGACAGTTAAGATGGCAGCAAATGCTGGCAAAAGTTTGGCTAACAAAAATCACTCATGAAATTTGATTGACTGAATCAATGAGTAAATGACTGGGCCACTGACAGATGCGGCAACAAGAACCGAAACCAAAACCAAATACCAAACAAAAAAAAAAAAAATGGAACAAAATAATAACGAAAAAGTTTCGCTTTGCGGCGGAAATGTCCTGGCAATCCTGACTGCTGCCAGCCTCATGAAAATTGACAATCAAATTGCAAATAGCTTTATCTTGTAGTTTGTTTATTTATTTATATCATTTCGTACACTTCCTGCGCGTCGGCCACAATGAGCAGAGAAGTCATCTGGGAGGCTGACGGCGGCCATAGTTGTTAAGCTCTGTGTTTGTGCGAGTGTGTGCGTGTGTGTGTGTGTGTGTGTAGCCGCCATTTTGATATGGCTCATGTGTGCGCGTGTGCGTGTGTGTGTGTGATTGCCTGTCCTTTTTGGCCTGTTATCCTTGGCTTATGTTTTCAATTAAATTTCCATACAATTTTCATGACATGATGAACTACCTAGGACTACAAGCCAGGTCTCGACACGACTCTCAGCTCTGGCGTCCTGTGGTACATGCGTGTGCATGTGTCCGTTTGCGTGTGTCAGTCAATTTATTTAATAACAAACGCACAGGACATATACAGTGAAGATCTGTACAGTGCTGTGTTACAAAAGTTCCTTCTGCCGGGCTCAACAATTCACATAAAAATCTCTGTGAAGATTTTTGAATAAATCAAGAGTCAAATATTTTATTTCATTTCATTTACACTCGAATAAAATCAAGCAAAATGCAACTGAGCGAAGATAAAGGCTTAACTATGGTAAAGAAAATGCACATTTGATGCCGAAATGTTTCGATTATAGCTGCAAATTTATTGTGTAATATATTTGTTCTTAAATATAAGCTTTAGAGAACATTGCAGGTGGTTAAGGCAGAGTTCTAGTTCTCGACTAAACAATATGCCTGGCCAATAACTTTATACTAACTTCACATTGTCGAAACACTTATCGAAATTGTATAATTTAATTTAATCTAATTTATTTAGTCTATGTTCAAGGTTTAATACGTATTGGAGCATGATTTACAAAGTACAAGTTCCTGTCATATGCCTTAGCTGAACCAATCTCGAGATTTAGTTTTTGTTTATGACTTATGCATGCATCCATCAATTGTTAACGGTAGGCATTTGTCTTTCATTTACAATAAGAGCCACTCATTTTTTGTATGATCGGACAGGGCTGACATAAACAATAAGTAAGTTTGTGTAATCGGTTGAGTTGGGACGCAGCAAAGACACAGCACAGTTAATATCACTTATGCGAAATGCGTTTCGTTTCAACGGTGAGTGGAAAACTTTAATGTGGCCGCCCACACAAATGAATCAGGCGTCTGTTACAGGTTAACTGACAGAGCAGCTCCTGCTGCTGCCCACGTCATTTCAATCAAACATTTTTGTTTATGACAGCATCGTCGAGGTCCAGGCATATGATTTATCATTATGTGACTGTATGCCGACCCACCTACTTTATCCCCACGCCTGTTACGCAACATAAGTACATGTTCAATATATAATAACATAAAATATGATGGCCTGCCACATAAATAAAACAGCAACGAACCGAAGAATATTGTAAATGTTTCAAATGTTACAAATGAGCACACACACGTCATTCAAAAATGCTGCGCCAACATACGCATACATAGATATATACATATATGCGTTGTTACATATATGAAATTTGTTTTAGAATCCTTAATAGGGCTTGTTTAAGCTCGTATTAAAAACGACATTTGCTTTGAAATATTATAAACTATAAATACAAAAATAAAATTATTATGACGAAGCGCACGCTGTGTGCCTACCTGATGACAAATTTGGAGCAGAATTTAAACTTAGTCGATAGAAAAGGGTTTATTAATTAAATCATATTAAATATGGAAAATATACCCGACTGTCCATTTATTTTACTATATTTTGAAAAACATTTGTATTTGCATGAATTAAAGAGAAGTGTATGTTGTGTGGGCGTATTAAATTTGTCGATTTTATTGCTGGCGTGGATAGCTATAATACTTAATTAGGGGAAGTGGCTGCCGACGCCAATCAGAACGAAATCTTTTTCAAATCTGGCACAGAAATCTAAAGTGATATTAAAAATCAGAATGAACTGGCCTCGTCAATTAAAATGGCAACTAAATAAATTAAATTCCAAGTTAGCTGTCATCGGCCAAAAGGCAAACATATAAGTGCTGGCCATTCAAGTGGGCCAGGGTGCAGACAGCAGGGATCAGATTCTGAGCGCAGAACGAAGAAGGGCCAGAACTCGTGGCCAGCATCAATGGTCAATGGAAGTGCGCGTTTATTGAATGAAATTAGTCTGCAAATAGTATGGCATAAGCCAGGGCGCATTGGCCTGGTCAACGAGCCGTAAGCCTAATGTAAGTGCCTTGGCTGGAACAATTTGTGCCCGATGCTTGATGCCCGATGCTCGATGCCTGTTGCCCCGCCCATTCTTACTATATCCGGTCTCTATCCCCAGCAGTTGTCGTCTGCATTGAAATCGTCCATTAGCTAAGCAGATTAATTGCTAAAAGGTATTTAATTCGCGCTGCTTTTATATTTCAGCGTTCATTCTACGTTTCAGCCAGACGCATATAACGCTTTTCTTTTTATTTCATTTCTCAATTTCTTTTCATTTTATTGTTCCCTTTTTTTTTTTTTTTGTTTGTGCTCTGCTGTGCTTTTTGATAGAAGCTCGCAACTTCCTTGGAAATATGGCGTTAAGTATTTTTGCGTTACTTTTTTTCGTTACTTTTTAATGCTTCATTAGCTACTAATGGAAATTGTGTGACTTTGCGAAAAGCTCTGGCAGTTGCTGCCATTAGAAGTTGCGTGTGGAGGGTTTTCGCTGGGTTGTCGCATTGATACAAACCAGGAAGTTGCCTTGGTAGCTTTATATACGACCGATATTAACTAGAGTTTGTTTGATTAATATTCACATGTCTTATAATCATAAATATCATCTTTACCTATCCTAAACATGAATTCAAGAAAATAAGCTCTTTATGATAACCTAATCCAAATGCTATATATCTTACAGATATACTTTGGCTATGTTGAGTCCCACATTGAAATCTGTTTTCTTTTCTAAAGATGTTCGGTGCCACTGGGGAAAAATGGCACTCAAGGTATTTGAAGACAGCGCATAAAAGTCAAAAGCAGTATAAAATACAACTAAAAAACAGCAGCAAATAATTTTAAGAAAGTTGTGTGATTTATGTGCAAATATAACACAAAAGCATGGCAAGTTTTGCACTATAAAAAAATACAAGCAGAGGGAAGGAGTGCTAAGAGACACACACACACATACAGATAGAGAGAGAGAGACTAGGCAATGCAGGTGGCAATGAAGTAGGACAAACCAGGTAGAAAATGAAAATTGCCGATGCAGCTGCTGCCAAGTCAAACAAAATGAATGACGACCAAGGCAGTACAAACTTGAGAAGCTGAGTAGGACAATGGGTAAAAGAGAAAGAGAGAGAGAGAGCAGGAGCGGACGAGGGAGGGAACTGCCTCTAAGCGTCAGCTGAGCTCAGTGAAAGCTGTTCCGGAAAACTTCGGGAAATTATTGAAGTGTAAGTAGACAAGTAAATGTAACACTTAAGAGAGCGAAAACTACAAAAGACACATGGAAAACAAGGAAGAAAGTTTAAGAGACAAATGATGAGCTACAAAAAATAGAGGAGAGGGAATGCTGGATTTATCATCTATATTCACAGAACCTAAGCCGATCGCAAGGAATCTTGTAAAACTAGTCAGCTTTCTCATGCTTTAAGGAAAATCGTCTTGCATTAAATGCAAAAAATTGTATATTAGAATATTGAAAGCCTACAGCTAGGTAAATAACAGCTAACCGACATTGAGTGAAAGCACCTGCAATTTTATTTTTAAATTTAAAACTGGGAAACTTTGTAAATTTGTTGTAAGAGTAGCATAAAATTGTTGATTCAGTCAATTAGCTAACATTCTCGTACATCTTTGGATTACGTTGAATATTCTCCTCCATGATCTTTTTGTGCATGTACTCCCAATGGTCGACCTTTTGGAGCACATCCGGTATAACTTCCCGTATACGGAATCGATCAATTTCGAGACCATCACGTTGCTCAATGTTTGTCTTGAAATTATAATTGGGCGTGTAGCCGTTGAGCTTGAGAAAATGATCGAAATAGAATGGAACAATCTGCTCCTGCATGTTGTCCAGCACCATCACAGAGTCTTGGGTGAAACCCTCGCTAACGACACCATCCTCGGCAAAGGCGCGCACAAAGTTTCTAGTGTTCTCCGAGATTACGACGGGTGGTGTTATAATCTTGGGGACACGCTTTCTCAGATACAGTCTCTGCAGCGGTCCAACACGTTTGGGTTTCTTGTAGGGCGGCTCAAGGTTGCGGCGCACCTTCTTCATTTCCATGTCGATACGACGCTCAACCTGGTAGGCCTGCGCAGAAAGCTTTTCCAGGTAGCGTCGTCGTTTGCGAAGTGTCATTTCCACTTCGCGCACCTTCTCAATGTCCATGTGCTCAAACTTGGCGAGTAATTCCAGCACAACGGTGCTGATGGCCCCCACCATATCCGAGGCATTGGGAATCACATCGCTGGAACCCCGCACCGTGGCGGGCACAATGCGACGCCACACTTCGGCAAGGACGGCGCGATGTTTGTTGAATTCCTCGTCGGCAAAAGAGTTCTGAATTGGTTTGTCGAGGTAGTGCCTGACTCGTGCCTCCATCTCAATGGCGCGATCCTCCATGAAGAACTTCTTGGCAGATTTTCGTGCTACATACTCCTGCTTCTCTTTCAAGTCCTTGGTGCACCAATCCACAAAGGTTTCCAGCCTACCCTGCAGCTCGGTGTGTATGGACAAGGTATAGTGCATTTCAAGCAGCAGCATGAACGTCTTGTTCTTTAAATTGTCAATGCCTTCAAGGAAAGTCTCAGCATTGGGAAAGACCTGCAACACCGGATGCAGATTGCGCAAGTAGACGTCATAGTAAAACTCGCGTATGGCCCAAGCGTCATCTTTGTCCCTTACGCGAATGTTGACAATGGCACGCTTGGCAATGGACTGGTCATAGGGTTCCAGTTCATACTCTATATCCTCATCTTCCTCTGTAGCAATGCTAACTTGCTCGGACTCGTCAATTTCGCCGCCAGGTTTGCCGCGTTTTTTTACTGGCACCAAATGGATCCAATCGTGCTCTGCGCGCCATTCCTCCTCGCCGAGCAGATAATGAAAGTTCTGCAGCATTACGCAACGTATCCAGTGACCCTCAATGAACACAATGTCCATATTGAGCATTGTGAGTTCGCGCTCCAATTCGCGGAATTCTTGCTTCATTTTGTCGGTTATCTCATAATAGGTCTTCACTTGATAGACCTGTGTCATGGCCGCATTATATTCTTTCTTTTCCCATTTTGCGAAGAGGCCTTCGTAGAGAAGCTTGGTATTCTTCATATCCTGCCAGTGGCGCTCGTTGAGCGTATCATAGATCTTGGTGCGCACCATTTTGCCTTGAATCAATAGTGACTCATACTTAAGACGCATCGCAACCTTTAACAGCTCCACGCCTGTCTTGAAATTAAATGTTTTTACTGTTGCGCGGCTTTTAAGCTCATCTATGTAGTTCTCATCTAAGTCCGTGATAACAGAGCCATAGTATTTATTTGCGCCAGGTCCCAACAGGGTGTTACGCACATCCGGTACCGGCACCTCCAGTCTGAGGCGCAAGCCATTGCGAAGGCGTGTGCTAAATGTAAAGAAAGAATCTTTGGGACCCAGCATAGCTGCCTGCTCCTTGCGTTGACCGGAAAACGGTAGCATACGATAGGGATTCTCCTCCTCAGCGTCAACATCAATAACTTCCGCCTGAAAGCGTGAGCGACGCATTTCCTCGAAGGGTACCAAGGGTTTTCGTATATAGTCCAAAGGTATCTTAGTTTCGTCTTCTAGCAATAGAAAGCTGCCGCTGTCTTTGGATAGATTTGTGCACTCCGAGCTGCTAAGCGAGCTGAGGCATTCCTCAATGCTCTTCAGATCCTCCTCCAGCTCGGCAACAATTGCCTTACGGTCGACCAATAGGTGCTCCTCGGCAGGGTCAATGTCCTTGGTCTCGTACAGAGCCTCGCGGGTCTCGCGCAAAAATTCCAGGTACTGTTTACGACCTGGAAAATCGAGAGTCGCCAGCTCGTCGGGGTCACGTGAGTGAAAAACGAAATCATACGGATGACACAGGTCCTGTACTACCTCCCTGGCTGCATCCTTGCTATCAGTGCGAGTGGCCGCCAAGTGGTCAGCGATCATCTTCTCGAAATCATAGCGAGGAATGGTCAGGTCCTCGTTCATATATTTCTTACAAGGCGGATTTGCCTTGATAAAATTTACAATCGGCACCCTTTCCGGTTGTTCTTGTACTGTAATCTTTGGATATACCGTCTTGGTTTGATAGTGCACATGAACGCTCTTTGCCTGGGTAGGGTCCCAGTGATCGTGATGGTGGCGTGCCTCGAATTTGTCAGTGTAGGGACGCTTCGTAGTCCGTACATTGGCAAATTTAATGTGATCAGGCACTATCTTCTCTAACATCGGCATGCCCGAATTTTGGATGGCATCGTTAAACAGGGCCGAGGGCACACGCTCATTGGCGTAATCTCGACGTCGTCTTGGATGGACGAGAAGCGTTTTCTCTCGAAACATTGGTGCTGGCATGTTACCACGCTGGTCAATGGGCACATTATCACTACCGGCCGCCATGCGATACTCCTCCTCCTCCTCCTCAGTGTGCTCAGAGACATTAATTACCTCCTGTGGCGGCACCCAATCGATATCGAATACCTCCTCTTTGACATCACAGGGCGATTGCTCACGCAACTGTTTAGCCTCCACACAAGTGAGACCCAGCAGATTCATGCGTGCCAGCTTCTGCTTTAGGTGCTTCGCCTTGGCCACTTTGCTCTTTAGGGCAATGTACTCCAAGGTGGTCTCTACTTTGGAAACGTCAACCATGTCGGCTTCCAAAAGATCCGGTGCATCCGGCACTATAATCTTTTCAGGAAATACATAGCGAATGAGATTGAACTTCTTGACATGGTACTTCAGTTTCGGTTTGACCAGTTTTAGATTCTTACGCAGCACACGATGATAGTGTAAGCCCAGACGCTTGTCAATGAATTCCTTGATGGCACTCTTCTGTTCGCGTTTGTGCAGTAGCAACGGTTGCGGTGGGAATAGATCCAATTTGGGATCATCCGGATCGAGCACCTTTATAATGCCCCGCTCAACGTCCAGCTTAATGGGTTCCTTGCGTGGCGCCAGCTGATTGAGCCACTCCTCGCGGGTTAAGCAGCCCTTCACCGTGCGCTGACCCTCCATGATCTGATGATGATGCAGCTTGCCGCGCAGACCATCACCATGTTTGAAATGAAAGCCGCGCAGCTGGAATTTATCACCTATTTTGCCCACCTTCAGGTAGTCCTCATCATCGCTGCTCTGCTCGCTGGGCGTAGTGCCGACACTACCTTCAATGCTTTCCTGGCACGCCAGCCGCTGTTCGGCATCGGGGAATTTCTTCAGCTTGCCCGTACGCTCCAAAAAGAACTCCTGTGCTACCATGGCATGGTCCCTGCGAACACAATTCTCCTTGTGCATGATGGCCTTTAGGCGCTCGGTCTCTGTCAGCGTTTTGGGGAAGAACTTGCGCTTTCGGATCACTGGTGGAATGTACTCAAACTTTCGAAAACTGCGCTCAATATCATCATCGATTTTGGCCACATCCTGTAGCAGATCGTTCTCAGCCACGGTGCGTGCCTGAATCTCCATAGCGGCTGCCTCCATTTTTTTTTGCTCTTGCTCCCGCTCGGCTTTCCGGTACTTGTTGCGCAAATAAATGTCCTTGTAGCGTTCCTCACGACGCTTTTGCTCATGGGCGATCTTCTCTTTGTTGGCTGGCTTATCTGGCGAGCGAAACAACTCGGCCAGCTTGAAGTCCTTTGGGGGCACCTCTTCTGGCACTGGCAGATCCTTGATCTTAGTATTGAACACGGCCGGAATCGCTAAGCGTTCCGCTTGTAATTCGGCTTCCACCTTTTGCTCGGTTTGCTTTTTTGTACGACGCCGTGCCATGTAGCGCACTACTCGCCAATAGTTCTGCTGATTCTGTTGCTCCTGTTCGTCCTTTTCGTATGTGTTCTTATAGTCCATGCCCTGAAAATCTAAATTCACGGGATTTTCCAAATCAATTACCTCGCATATGTGCGTATCGGAAGACTCTGAGCCTGTGCTGGCGCACACATTGTCGCCATGCTTGACCATCTTGCTAATCAGCTTGAACTGCTGGTCCTCGGTCAGTTTCTTGTGGCGCAACGCACTGGGATTGACCAGACAGTGCGTCTTGCGCGGATCCTGTGTAAGGAAGAACTTTTGACGCACTGGCGACAATTTGGACAGTTGTTGGAAATTTTCTGGACAGCGTCCAATGTGCGGCCGCGGCGCTCCAATCACATAGCTAGCCTCGCAGGGCTTCTTCCACTGATCGCCCTTAAAGTTTTTGGGGCGCACGGACGGCACATGATACGAGTCAATCATTTCCTGTGAATTAACATCTTTCTTTTTGCCCAAAGGGGAGCGTTGTGTGGTCTTGCCTGAGACGACCGGCCTGCCTGGAATGCTTGTCGACGTACAGCTCTTTGCTTGCATGTTAACTGTAAAGATGCCATCCCGAAAGCCCGATACACTTGAGCTGAGAAAATCATATCCAGTTTTCTTAGTCAACACCCGCTTGCCACAAGCATCGCGCGTCTCGACCTCTGTGCGCTTTATGTTGGCATCCGGGAACTCCAGCGTCTGCACGGTCAGCTGTGGCTCCGAATCGCGGCGTGAGAAGTCAATATTCTTGAACTTGGCAATGCCAGCCTCTCGCTTTGTCTGCTTATGTTGCTTTTTGGGCGGACATCTCCTCTTCTCCCACGGTTCGTTTGTATATGACCTTTGCGCCCTAGTCATCTGGACTTTTGGATCTGGCTCAATTTTCGTTTCGGGCATATATGTGTCCCTTTGTAGGGAGCCTGAAATTCGCTGGACGTCAATTTCTGCCGCGGTGTTACGAGCCGAATCAGTCACAGTGTAGCGCGGTTGCAGGACAGAAGCCCGGGGTTTTTCGGGTGCCGGCATTTTAGCATAGGATTTTGAATTCAAAATATGTGGTTATTGGACAGAATATTCGTTTCCGCTTGTGATTGCGTAAGTAAAATAAAAGTGACTGAATTTTTTAATGGAAGCTTTGTGACAGAATTTTACAAGGGTTTTCCACACAGCTTTGAGGCATGTATAACTTGGTGCTAAGGAATTCAATTATATTTATTATATTATTCCACAATCTTCTGCTTATTTACCTTAATTTCTGCTTAAATTTGTTCGATCCCATACCTATTTTTACACTCATTTCACATTTACTTTTAAGTCTTTTATTTCTGCCGACTGTTTGTTTCCATTACCATTCAAAAGTTTACATTGAGGACCCATAAATTCAGAACGTTACATATCTGCTTACATGATTTTTATTACATTTCGGGGCAGCATTTGCTGTGCTCAGCGTTCGCTTTTCTCGCACCCAAACTCCTTTTACTCGTTCTTTATTTCCACCCTCAGCATCAATATTTCCATTTCAGCTATTTTTGTATACCCTGTAGCCATATGATGGACTATGGTTGGGTATAATCAGGCTGTAAGTGTGTACTCATTTTGAAAATATCTTTGATGTTTTTAGGAATATCATTTAATAGATACTTCTTTATATGGTCGTTGCTTCCAAGAGTTGAGCAGCTATTTCCATGTTATCGGTGCACGTTAGACCTGAGCTGCAGGGTATTGTCCTATCGAGCATTCATAGCAGTCGGCTACATCTACTGTTTTCTTTAGTATGTGCCTTGTGTTCTTATTGTGAGCACTCCTGCCCGCCCAAAAGTATGCCATAAAAATTGACTTGTTTTCCATGTTTAGCTTGTCGCAGTGCGCATCGAAGTTCGCCATTTTTCAATTTATTTGCCAGCCCCCATCCAGATATTTTATGACCCACATATGTCAGCCTAATAGGTCCGAGCACTAAGCCGCCGCCCTACGTGAATTTAATTAAAATTTATAACGACTTCAATATGCCAAACACGCCGCATAATTTCAGCCAGGTCTGATCTGAAAATCCTTCTGCTCTCTTCCTGTCGGACAGGCATTCACCATGATTCCCAACCTTCAGTTCTGTTCGCGGTGGTTTAATTTCGTATTTATGTTTATTTTTGACGCTCACAATCGGAAACAAAGTTAATTTTTGTACATTTTCTATTCGTGCGTTCATTTTAATGTTCGTTTATTGTTGTTATTGTTGTTGCTTTCAGTCATTTCATTGTTTTGATTATTGTTTTTTGGGCGCCCCCCAAGCGGCAAATAAATAATTTATAATAATTTCACAAAATGCCACTTAAAGTGCGGAAATTGCGCAAAACGAAGCCCCACAACGGCCAATTGTGTGAATTTATAATTTTTGTGCAAATTCAATTAAATGTTCCCTGCTTTTGGGCTTACGATTGGGAAAGGCAAAATCAATTCAATTCAATTCAACAAAAAAAAACAAATCAGAAAAAAAAAACCAATGGAAATTTTTGCATAGAAATGCAAAATGCAAATGCATTATGAAAACATATTCTTTAATGCTATGACTGAATATTCTATACACTTACAAGAGCAGCGCATAAAATATTCATTTCAGTAATAAACTATTATTTTCCATGCATTTCCGGCCTTAAGGGACTTAATCTACTTATGTTTGAAATGTGAACTTGCGGGCTCTAATAAATATATATTTTTATGCAGTTGAAAACAAGGAAGAGCAGTCATATGGTTGGGTGTGTTCCACTGAAACATAGAACCTAACTAAAATCGACGAAAATCGAATAATATGTAAGTAAGGACCGGAGCTTGAGCAGAGATTAGGTTAATTGAATTCGGAGGCCATGAAAATCGCATAGAAAGGCGCACCTTATAAACATTCATCATTAAAGGAGTCAATTTATGCAGTTTCCCATTACTTCACACATTTTCTAGTTCTGTAGTGCTGCAAATATGTTGGCGAACTAACAATGCCCGCCACAAGGGTAGAAAAAGACAACGTAAAAAAAAAAATGGTTAACATTTTTTGTTGCTTGCACTTTGCAGCTAAAAAGTTTAATTCAATTAAGAGTTTGGCCTGCGCTGCTGTTGCGTGGATGTTGAAGTTGCTCTGACGAGAAACCAAACAATTGCACACACTCACACATATACACAACCACCTACACACCCGCATACATACACACACACACACACACACACACACAAACGTACTTACGCACACTTGCACACTCGGCCACCCACAGCAAAGTCAAAGTTGCGCTTTTCAATTCTTGCAACATTTTCTGTTGCATTTCCCTTTGGTTTCGTTTTCTCACCTTCTCTACCCCACGTCGCAGGTTACGTTCACCTTTTCAGGATTCATTAAAAATGCATTCTCAGCCCGCTGTGCCGCACAAAATGGCAAAAGAAACTGAAAAATTTAAGCAAAGTTTTCGAGTCTGTGTGAAGGCGATGCCAAATTTGCCATATGGCCAAAGTCTGTGCGGGATTTTCTTTGTTTGGGTGTAAAGTTTTCCCCATTGCATACTTTAGCCCAAACTGCGGCAGCTCTTAAAGATGCACTGCTGCAACATTCTGCTGGGCTGATACATAAGAAAGTCAGGTGCACAGCTTTAACAATCATTTCAGTTACAAAAGGTGGAAGACTCTAGTGAGATTATATGCACATAAAACACAGTGAATTTTGAATTTGAATTTAGTTATCGATTGCTTCAAATACAAACCACAAAGCTTAAAAATGCAATATCCATTTGATCAAATCCATCTTGATTAATGTTAATTAAAAGCATTTTCTTTTGAGTGTCGTTAATTAAATGTAACAAATATACTCTATCTTCTGCCATGGAATATATGGAATATTTTTGATTTAAAATGCCGTAAATTTGATGGCTATTAATTTTTTTTTGGTTAATTTTGCCTTTGCCCTTTTTAATCGCTTCTAATACTTTATTTTTTATTTATTTTTCTATGCATCTTCTAATTGCCCAGCAAGTCTGCTCATCTGTACTATAATTTCCTAAGCTCGACTGCTTCAAAATGCATTTTTCCAGGCCCTTCAACCTTATTTTTTTCCCTACACTTTTTTTCACGCGCGGCAAAGTTTTTAATTGAAAGTTTTAAGCTGTAATTGAAGTTTGCCCAGTGCTTCGACCTGTCACGTACCCCGTCCCACGCCCATACTCCTTCCTTCCGGGCGGTCTTCCCATCTAACTGCCATTTTGCCAGCCTCTTCATTGCGCACTTTGGTAGCCAAGCCTCAGCCTCGGCCTCAAACTCGAGCCTGGTCTCGGCCTGAAGCTGGTTACAGCTTGTAAAGCGTTTTATCCGGTGCGGCTGGGAGTCACCGTTGCCGTTGCTGTCGCCGTCGCCGTCGCCTCGCCAAAGTCCCTTTCGAGTGAAGCGCAAATTTGCCTTTTGGCCCAGGTATGAAATAATTATAATTTGCAAATTTCGTAGCCACCGCGCGGACGTTGTTTAATTTTGTGTGCAGCAACTTGTTAAAGTCGACCCAAAAGTGGCAGCCACTTGAACATTTTCCATTAATGTGTTAAATTTTATTTAATTTCACTTCATATACGTATTTCGAAATTTGTTTTTTTTTTTTCGTTTATGTATACATTTTAAAGCCCGCCTAGATGAAATTTTTCATTTTTGCGGGCACCTCGTGTCGTTGCACTTTCGGGGCCTCATTTTTCTCTTGTGGCGTATAGAACATGTATTTATTTAATTAAAAAACGAAGCTTTTGTGCACTGTGCAGTGTTCTGTAGTGTAATAATTACAAAAATAACAACTATTTTGTCTTCTTGCTTGCCAGAACTTTTAACAAACAATTGTTGTGGCAGTGCAGAGAAATTCATGAAAAATAAGTAAAAGTGGTTAAGAGTGTGCGGCATTAAAATACCCTATAAAAAAAACAAATAGTTTTACAACACTGCACTCCAATTTCAATAGGCAGAGTTACCACCTAACAATGTACTGTCGTGCATGTGGCAACGCCAAACAGTGTGAATCAACACAAAGCAACATTAAATGATGATTTTTAACAACATTTTTTATAATTTTCAGCTCTCGACTTGACAAACGTCGAAACAGAAGGTATATTTTTGTGATATATGTACACCATTTTAATTATACACAGCAGTGTTAATTATACTCAGAGGAATAGCTTATCAAAAACTGCATATCTTGAATGTAAGTTATTATTCAAGTATTCTTATAGAGCATCCCTTTACACATATGTGTAAGCTTCACAAAACAATTCAATTCTGTTTTTATATTTTGTATTCACTATCTTTCGAAAACCTTTCAAAAATATATATGGAATATATCTGCTATGAATTGTGCCCAATCGAAAAATAAAAATCTACCATTTTCTTCCGCCATTTCAAAATATATTCCTTTCCATATTCCTTTAATAAGTTCACTTAAATGTCTGTTATTTTTTCTCGGTTTCAGATCTACATCCATCCCTATACATATGCGATGACATTCGTCTTCATAATGTAATCGCTCTTCATAGCACATCGCGCTCTTAATTAAATAAAAATATTGCATATGATTTTATTTTGTATTGACATTTTTTGAGCACTCTGATGTATTTTTTTTATTATTTGTTATTGTTGTTTTGCACTGTTGTTACAATGTATATGAAAAATTATTCATTATTTGCATGTGTCGTTGCAGAAGCCGCACAAGCAGAATAAAGAAGAAATTGCCAGTTTTTAATTAAATTTTCACGGAAGTGCAGCCACATTTAACGGAAATGTTGAAACATTTAAATGCAAACGACATGCAAGATGGGGGCAACAGATTCAGACAACTACACCCCAGACCCCTTGGGGTCTTTTTATTCATACATATATATCCACGTATCTATAGTTATAACAACTTTTTGACCAGCTCGTGGTAGGTCGTTGCCATCGGCGCCTTTGTGTTCATTTGTCAAGCTGATTGGCCCACAGCCTCAAAGAAATAGCTTTAATGCTGACATATTATTACGCACATTTTTTAATTATAATATCGAGTTACATTCGCTTTCAAACAATAATTAACGTGTGCAGGTTGTAGCTGTGAGACTTCTTTTAAGTGGATTTTATGAGTAGGTTTAAGAAATAAA